AAGCTTTTTTTTTTTTTTTTTTTTTTTTTGGGTGTTTGGCTTGAAAGAAATATTAGGCTATTTAGAGAGGTTGATTGGTTTCGGGATGTTATTTGGGATAATATAAGGTTTAGTACTTTCTTATTGGTGGTAGCTTTTACAGCTGTTTGTTATTATCTGTGAGGTGTTATTCTTTTGGACGGAAAGTTCTTTTTATAGGTTGGGGTTCTTTTCTTGTGGGCTGTGTTTTTGTATGCCCCTATATATCCTTTCATTTTTCTCAATGAAAGTTTAGTTTCTTATAAAAAAAAGAAACTAACTTATCAAAGTTGAGATTATGAAAACTCTAGATTTGCCCTCGTGTTAGACGCAATATCTACCACTCAGAAGTGTGAATAGATATGAAAATATTATTAGATCTAAGAATGAGAAATAGAATTGGGATCAAAGGTTCAATTTCATTGATATTCACAACCTTTAAATAGGTTACAATATTCCAACTAATACCTGCAAATAGGAAAATATAAACTAACTAAATCTTGAAAATAAAATAAGATATACTCAAATCAAATCTAAAAATATCTAAGATATACTCCCTAACTAATATATTTTTCAAGATTAGGAATATCATATATTCCATAATTAATTCAAACTAGAAATAAGTTGCACTAAATTCTGACCGTCTCCCTGAGTGCAAGCTTATTTTTCAGTAACTCCGAGAGACTTACGAAAAACTTCAAACTTCAGTTTGGCAAGTGCCTTAGTAAATATGTCCGCAACTTGCTCATTAGTATGTATTTTCTGCAATTCAACATCCTGCGATAACATTCTCTCGAACAAAATGATAATGACTAGTCACCATTTCTTGAATAAGCCTCCTGATCAGCCATAAAAATTCTTGAGTAGCCATTGTAGCAGCTACATATTCTGCTTCACACCTTGACAAAGCAACGGTGCTTTGCTTTTTAGTGCACCATGAAATTGCAGTAAAGTCTGCTGTAAAACAAAAACCTCGTGTGGAGCATCTGTTGTTCACGTCACCAGCCTAATTAGCATCCACAAAACTACTAGGATTTTTATCAGGTTGAGCACCCTGCCCCACTGGTCCAGAGTTATTGAAACTCGACTTCCTCCAACTCCTCTCTGTTTTGTCCTCAGTAGCCTGACCAGTTCCATTGCCAAAGCTCTTTTTCCCAATGGCGTTGGATTTTTCAGTCTTCTCCCCTGACACTTCCTTAATTTTCGACTCTAACTCCTCGTCAAGTTTTTTCCAATCATGTCCTTTCTCAGCTAGAACCTCTTCCCTCGACCTCGCCTCTCCAAATGGGTTTGAACTCTTGGACCTCGCCGTTGTCCTTGATATCTCCGACGACTTCACATCATTCACCGATAACGTACGTGGCTGCAGATTAAGCTTCGGTCGACTGCCACCACCGCTGCCGCCAGAATTACCTTCATCTTTCTTCCTCCTATTTTCATTAAAGACCCTCGACGAACCCCACTTTGAGTTAGACGAATCATACCCATTCGAATACCTGGTACTCCTCTCATACAAACCATTCGAGCCATAATTCCTAAATCCACCACCAACACGTTCAAAATTTAAACCTTTATGGCATCTTCCCTTCCCTCCATAAAAATCAAAGTCATCCCTCCATGAATTCTGATCTTTTGATTGCTTCAATTCGAGTGACAAAGAGTTGTAGGCTTCAACAACTTTGATTCCATCTGATTGAAGCTTGTCTACAGACTCAGCGTGGTTACTTCGGGTTTGGTCGGATTCAGACACCATGTTCAGCTAGACCTTGAGTCTCTGAACTTCATTCATGGCGGAGGCCAATGCAGCATCATCCATTGCGTGCTGCTTCTGAACAGCTTCGAGTTCGGACTTCCATGCTCGATCGCGATCTTGAGAATGTTTGTGCAGTTCTTGAACACGATCTTCCTTAGAAGCTGAGAGCTCAAACACCTGCTGTTGGGATTCTTCAAGCTTTGCAGACATATCTGATAGTTGTTTCTTTGCTTCTTCTACTTCCTATTGGGCTTGCTTTTTGTGTGATTCAAATGCACTTAGTTGATCACTTATTTTCTTCAGTTCCTTCTGGAGTTGAGAAAGCCATGATTCCAATTTAGCCGCTTTGTTGGGCCCTTTACTCTTCTTTTGACAATGTGGACAAACATCTAATAGAGGAGTTTTATTTCCAGTTGCATGATAATAACAACCAGAATCGACAATCCATTCTTCATTGTAGCTTATAAAGGCATGAGCATCTCTAGAGACATCATCTTGGTGAACAGTTGAAGTCACATTTGTTGGCTGATCAAGAACCTCAGTGGTTAAGCAGTATTCCCAAATTGGATCTAACTAATTTTTACTTTCATGTACAACATTTGCTTCTGATTCCTGGATTTTGACTCGGCAATTTGGCTTAATATGGCTTGACTTTCCGCAACGATCACACACCACTCTCACATGACAATCTCGTTTAAAATGACCTGGTTTTCCATACCTGTAACAAGCTTTAAATGGGTTCTTTGACGACTCCTCACTTCTGAATTGATTCCCATTGCTTGATGAAGGCTTTGAATGAAAATTCTGTCTTTTTTGATCTTTGACATACAACACATCTTCTGACTTTGGTGAAAACTCGTTGCTACTAGTCATTTGCTTAATCAAGGCTTCCTGATTGGAATGAAGATTCTCCATTTCAATTACTGTAGGCTGATTTGTCCACCCTTATATTGAGGAAACAAAGGGCATAAACTCTTTCCGTAATCCACGAATAAGATAATGCCGTAATCGAGCATCACTCACTAGCTCCTCAACATCTAATTCTGAAATTTCAAAACATAGATTTTTCACTTTCAAAAAATATTCTTCAATAGAAAAATTACCTTGAGTTACCATAGCTAGTTCATTCTCTAGAAATTGCAGTTGAGCGGTATTTTTCTTAGTGAACAACTTTTGAAGTGTATTCCATACTTGCTTTGGTGACTTTAATTCACGAATAGGATCAATATACTCCTTGCCAATCAAAGTTCGCAAGGTAAATAAGGCTTTTCCGCATTTGATCTTCCATTGTTGGCGTAATTTTGCATTCTATGGAGTATCGGCTGGAATTTATGTGTCATCACCTTCAATTAAATCCCACAAATCTTGCCCTTCTAGATAAGCTTTCATGCATAACTTCAAATAACTATAGTTATTGCCAACCAGCTTTTCCATAGCTATACCCATAAAAGCACTTCCACCATTCATCTCGTTGAGTAATAATATCAAACCGTACCAACTTGGCTCTGGTATCAACTGATGTAATATCTACCACTCAAAAGTGTGAATAGATATGAAAATATTATTACTCAACCAAAGAATACAGATCTAAGAATGAGAAATAGAATTGGGATCGAAGGTTCAATCTTCATTGATATTCACAACCTTTAAATAGATTACACTATACCAACTAATACCTACCAATTATACCAACTAATATCTACCAATAGGAAAATATAAACTAACTAGATCTTGAGAATAAAATAAAATATACTACAAATCAAATCTAAACGGATTACGAATATCTAAGATATACTCCCTAACTAATATATTTCTCAAGATTAGGAATATCATATATTCCATCACTAATTCAAAATAAGTTGCACTAAATTCTAACTAATTCAAACTAGGAATAAGTTGCACTAAATTCTGACACATGTTCTTGTAACACAGGACTGTGAAGTTATAATTACTCGCGAATAGTAGAATACCTTGACCGTTTCCAGAATTCTCACTTATACAGACTCAATAACTATGAAATTTAGTGTCTGCATGTATTTGGCAATTAAGAGAAATTTTCTTCTGAGAATCATGAGTCTGAATCTAATTTTACCCATTATTCTAGCTTTACTATCCTGTTACTAGTAGTAGATTTGGTCCACTTTGTTAATAACGTGCCTATTTGATTTAATTAACTATAGCTTGTCAATATTTTTTTTTTTTTTTTTTTTTTTTTGATCTTTTGAAACATGGGTCCTTTTTGGTGGTACGATATGCAAACTTTTCCGTCAGGTACCTTGCTCGTTAAATAGTTTAAATGGGTTCATCCTTCATCCGACTTATTCTCAGGCTTGGGTCTCCATTTTTTATCTTTTGTAATCACTTGTCTTCTCTAATTTTTATAGAATTTTTTGACACCATGTTGCATAGACACATGCATCTCTCTTCCATTTTTAAAGATTAATGTCAACAGCACTTTCTATCATTGGATTTGGAGATTTCTCGGTTCTCTATGAACTTACAGGTTACATCCATTTACAGAAATTAGGTGGTGCAGGAAAAATGTGCCGGACCAAGGCTTCTTCTGGGTGTCCAATGCTTGGAAAACCAAAACTACAAAAGAATTTTAGGAGTCAGATCTCTCAAAGAGGAGCCTTAGACATCGAAGATCTTGTTCACCTTGGAAGAAATGTGGGAACGTGTCCATATTATGGCTCCCGAAGCATGGTCCAGGCTGCTGATCTTATTGTCCTACCTTATCAATCTCTTCTATCAAAATCATCCCGTGAATCTCTCGGCCTTGCTTTGAAGAACAGTATTGTAATTATTGATGAGGCACACAATTTAGCTGATTCTCTCATCAGTATGTATGATTCGAAGATCACTTATTCACAGGTACGGTTTCCAGTTTTATTGAGTTCAGTTATTCTTTGCAATTTCAAAACTTTGATAAGAACCAAAACCACGGTACCTAGTTATTTACTCACCGTGGTACCTGGTTATTTAATCTAGTTAAGTGTTTTGGAGATTTAATCCTTGCCTTTGTTCTGAGGGGCGAGGGTTAAGGTAGTCTGATGCTCCTTTATAGTATAGTAAGGGCTCGCTCCCTTTTTAAGTCCTACAATCAGTACCCAGTGAGGAATAGCCTGTAGAGAGGCAGAAGAAAATAACTTTCGAAATTTTATAGAACTGGTTCTAAGTAATTTGTTTCCATTTGATAACAAATTTCCCAACTTTCCTGCAGTTGGAGAATGTGCATCACCACATGGAGAGGTATTTTGAAAGATTTTGGAGTCTTTTGGGACCAGGCAATCGGAGATATATTCAAACTCTAATTCTAGTTACTCGGGCTCTCCTTAAACTCTTACACAATGAGGAAGCGCCTTATGCGGAACCTTGTAAAAATATTAGTACTGGAAAAAATAGTACTTTGGACTATTCAATGGCTATAAATGATTTTCTCTTCTCTCTCAATATAGACAATATCAACTTTGTAAAACTACTACAGTATATTAAGGAAAGCAACATTATGCACAAGGTATATCCTTCTTATTTGCTAATTATTTCCACATATGTTGAATGATTCTTCTTATATTGGGTCAAGATGTACATTTTCCAGGTTAGTGGGTATGGAGAAAGAATTATTAATCCAAGAAATGACTTGGGAATGAAAACTTCTGGAAAATGTTACGAGAAGGAAAGTACTCTCTCAAGCTTTAGAGCATTAGCTGACATGCTGCTATCCTTTATTAACTTTGATGGAGATGGAAGAATGGTAATCTCAAAGAACAAACCTACATGCTTTGGGGAGAATGGAGGATATATAAAATTTGTCATGCTTACAGGGGAGAAGATATTTTCTGAGGTTCGCAAATAAAGAAATTTACACCATGAATTTTGCATACCATACCTTATTCTGAGACTTCAGTAAATCTTGTAGGTTGTAGATCAAACACACGCTGTTGTTCTTGCTGGGGGAACTTTACAACCTATAGAAGAAACAAGAGAGCGACTCTTTCCATGGTTACCATCTTCTCAGTTGAATTTTTTTTCATGTAGTCACATTGTTCCTCCAGAAAGTGTTTTGCCAATGGCTGTTTCCTCCGGTCCTTCTGGTCAGCCTTTTGATTTTAGCTACAGCAGCAGAAGTTCATCTGCTATTGTAAGGATATTACAGGCTTGAATTGGTTTATGCTCATTTATTTCACACAGCCTTGTTTCATGTTTTTGTATTCATCCTGTTGTTTAATTCCAGATAGTTCAGATATAAAGTAAACTTTTTCCTGCTGTAAAATCGCTCAGCTTTTTTCCTTGTTAATTTTACAGTAGCTGAATGCTATTTTGGCCTGGCTTTACAGGTAAAGGAGCTAGGGCTTTTGCTTTGTAATCTGGTGACTGTGGTTCCAGAAGGAATTGTTGTGTTCTTCTCTTCTTTTGATTATGAAGAACAGGTACATGGTTTATGGAAAGCTTCAGGCATCCTTGACAGGATTATGAAGAAAAAGCGTATATTCAGAGAGCCTAGAAACAATACTGATGTGGAATCTGTTCTTAAGGAATACAAGGAAAACATCGATGCATTGTCTAAGAAGGATCCACAACAAAATATTTCATCTTCTAGTGGTGCGGTGCTATTTGCTGTTGTTGGGGGAAAAATATCGGAAGGCATCAACTTAAGTGATGGGATGGGGAGGTGTATTGTCATGGTTGGCCTGCCCTACCCTAGTCCATCTGACATTGAGTTAATGGAGAGGGTGAAGCATATTGAAACTCTGGGAAATTCAAATTCCATTAAGAGTTTGAAGTTTTATAATGAGGTTCCTAGTGGAGATGTTGAAACTGGTTTAGAGATTTTGAGAAGTTGCAAAAGAGGAAAAGAATATTACGAGAATCTTTGCATGAAAGCCGTGAATCAGTCAATTGGTAAGTAACGATTTCCATTTTCTTTTTATGGGAGACATAAGTTGTCCAAAATGAACTTTTGAATTGAATCGAATTTTGGAGTTTGGATTTGCTTAGTGCTTATTACTCAGTTTATTCATAATATAGTTGACTTGGTGGTTCTAATTTAAATCACGGCTAGCATTTTTAGTTCACTCTAAATGTGGTTGTTCGGTGATTATGCTTTAACCTTGGCCATATGGTTAACTACGGCAATCAAAATCTCGCCTAGAGGAGATATTGATCTGGCTCTGAATGAGTAGTCCTGACCACCGAATCAATAGTTTGCCTTAAATCTTTAAGAGTTGTAGTGATAATGTAGTGTTCTCTACTTCCTGACTATTGCACTTTCATCTTGTCTTTATCTAATGCCCACCTTCCTTGCCTTTATTACAGGTAGAGCTATTCGACATATCAATGATTATGCAGCAATTCTATTGGTTGATGTGCGCTACTCGTCTAATTCTTCAAAGAGAAGCTTTTCGCACCCAGCTGACAAGCTTCCAAAGTGGATTAAGGACTGTCTCATTTCTTCAACTGAGAATTATGGTGAAGTCCATCGAAGGTTGCACCAGTTTTTTAAACTTAACAGAAAGATGGGACAGTGAAAAATTGTTGAATCTTCGCTTCGAAAAAGGCACGAAACGATCCTTTCTTAACCATTTACCGCGAGCAGTAATTTTGATTAGGCAGTTGGTCCCAGTTAGAAGGTCAAATGCGCTGTAACTGATATTTGTGATTGAATTGTAGCATCTGTGAAATAAGCGGACTTATACATGTATATATTGATATCTTTCTTTTATGACAAACATAGCACTTAGCCCCTTCATATATTTCTCTTCCCCACAGATTTAGTGGCGGTGGCTTTCTTCCATCAGTTCTTATAAGAGTTTTAAGATGTTTCAACGATATGCAACAACTAAGAACCAAGATGTTTAGCATATTGGATCTCTACACACTATTTTAAGAAGCCTTGCTGGGCAAGATTGGGTAACTATCTGCCTGATTTGTTTTCTTTGACCAAATAGATTATCAAGTCTTCATCTGCAACACCTGGCAAATATTGATGCCATATCGAGCAACAGTTTGGCTATACAAAAGCTCCGTGATTATCGATTCTTTTTCCAGGTAACCAGCCATCAAATTTTATCCAATCCTTGATATTTATATGAGCTGATTGATGGTTTCACTATACAGAAATACTGAGGTTCCCAACTCAATAGAGGTCGTTTAAGTAGGGCCTGAGTGTGGTCATAAGTAGTCAAAGTTGCTAAATTCAAGTCAAAAAGTTTATTTGTGATATCTCTAAGAAAGTTATACAATGACTTGCATCGTCCGTTACTGCTGCAAGACAGTAGTTTACAGTCGGGTGATATTGGTTTAGGGGGATGGATTCAGTTGCTTTTACTCAGAAAATGACTTGGGTGTGGAGATATTAGTGATGCTCCTTATCCTATCATCTGCTAAGAGCCTTGGGAGTACCGATCTCTTTGCATACTGGGGACCAAAAAAAGCCCCACATCATTATGACCAGAATTTTTCAACTCCATTGAATGAAATTTAATGTAGAATGTGTTGAGTTGTTCAAAGTTACAACTCTTCGGCGTCCATTGTTCTTACAACAAAGTTTTCCCCTATCAAGCTCTTCTTTCGTTTGTGATCCATCAGGTCGAGTTTGGAATCACAAACATTATAGAATTTGGAATCGTCTCCAAGGTTTGAGCTGCAACCCATACACTGTGCAAAAAATAACTGCAATAGTTACTAAATTTCGCCATGTTTTTTAGTTTCCCCGTGAAAGATCAATTGGCCTGACTCAATATATATATATTTATACAGGTTCAAGAAATTAAAAGTACTGTCTTGTACTTGTAGGCATGGCGGTGTGGATTTGAACCTCTTGCCTAGCTGAACTATTCACAGGTAGCCAACTTTTTGGTATATTACATCACAAATACTGTAGTGATTTGAATATACAACCCTCCAAAGGAAGTTCAGACACTTGGAATGTTCATATTGACATTTTCTTGATTGGTAGCCATTTTCTATGCCTGAATCACTTTTGTCTCCCTTTAAAATCAAAAGTTGTCTGAATTGCCGTATTGTATGTTAGGACAAAAAAGATAGAATTCAGCATCCCCCCGCGCATTCAAAATCTGATCATGGGTGAATTGACTGTGATAATTTGAATTAATCTTTCTGTTACATACTTGATTAAAAACAGGACAGTTTGAATTACCAAAAATGAATATATGTGAACTATGCCCCTTTTGTTCCATGGGGACAGCTCTCTTTAATTTTTAGCTGGGACCATTTGCCCAATGGGTCCTTCATGGGTCAGGGATTGCCTTTACAACAATACAATTTAGGTATACATTGAACACTGGATTTAATGTCATTACACTTTTCTTTAGCTTTGCATCTTATTGAATGCCCTGTTCTTTACACAACAGGTAGTCAAAGACGAAGCATCAAGCTCGTTGGATTCGTACATATTATCGAAGCTGAAGCGGTTAAGTTTTTCAACTTTTAGAGAGAGAATGGCCCCAAAAGGAAGTAGAGGGAGTTAAAGGCAAGACTTGGAATTTCCACCTGCTGTGGCTTTGTCTTTAGGTAACTACGAGAAACATGAATTGTCTCCATCTTTCTTCTCTTTGTTGCAGAAATATTTAGTGAACAGAGGAAGAGAGATAGATAGATAGAGAGGTGCCATTTCCTCTTGCAAACAGATTGAGAGGTAACAAAGCCCTTTAATTGTTATACCACATTACAGCAACCAAATGCTGCTAAAGGAAACCATCCTCAAAACCAGCAACCTCTTCCATAAAACTCTTGGAAACTTCAAGTGTTTATTCTCCAAAGGGTTTCAAAAGCTGCAGAAACCCACTTCTTTGATCACCTTCTCTTGCAGCAAAAGAAAGCCACAACATACCCATCCAACAAATCGACTCTACATTGATTTTTATGATGAATGGCAGTCCCCACTGCAAAAATCAGCCAAGAAAAGCATTGACGGTGGCAGTGTGATGACGGCCAAGCAAAACATGAAGCAAGAAGACACAAATGTTGCAAAACAAAGTCCTCCAAGGAGTAGACAAGAGAAGGCTGTGAAAGAGAAGAAGCCAGGAAGTTGCCATCTTAGAAAAGGTGATGTTAAGAACAGCAGCATGAGAAGTAATGGACTAGCACAAAAAATGAAGGAATTAGAGATGCTGGATAGGGGTGATATGGAGCAAGAACTGGATATAGAAGAGGCAATTCATTATTACTCTCGCCTCAGTAGTCCTGTTTATCTTGAAATTGTGGACAAGTTTTTCATGGACATACACTCTGAATTCTCTGTTCCAGAGCCTTCTGCTAGGAGTATGAACAGCTCAAAGAGAAGAATGGGGTCCATGAGATTGTTATAGATTTTCAAGTAAGTGAACTATATCCTTTATCTATATTTCTTTTCCTTCTTTTTGCAAGATTTGGTTTGATTATATTTGCATACTTATATTCCCTTATTGCTTCTTCTGAGTATATGGCTTTTGTATGGTTACTGATTCATTGCCTGGTCTCGTCCGTTTCTGTATAAATTTGCCAATAAAAATTTGAAATTTATTGCCTGGTTTTGTCCATTTCCTTGATTCTCGTTGATGTAATGTTCGGTTTCGGCATAATAAATATTGATTCTATCCGTTCGTAATCTTCCAAGCTGACCATTAGCAGATATTGCATGCTTTAACTTGTACATATATGTGTCAGCCTCCTCATAATCCACCCTCTTAGTAACTCAACGTCCTCTCATTGATACACTGCCTGATGTCTGGCTTCGATACCACTTGTAATAGCCTAATCCCACCGCTAGCAGATATTGTCTATTTTGGCTCGTTACGTATCATTGTCAACTTCACGGTATTAAAACACGTCTGCTAAGGAGTGAAAAATAATGAATGTTCCATTTTCTTCCCTAAAAATTACTGGATCTTACAATTCTTCATTCATATTCATAGCTTAGTCTACTAAAATCAAGGGGACCAGCCTCATCGTGGTAAGTAGAGGACATCTTTGTCGTTCACCGCTAATGTGACACGTTCCCTCCTAGTTATATGATCAACGGGATCAGTCGTCCAAGAGGAGTCTTTCTTTCGGGGAGGCAAAGTAGTCCCCTCTACTGATCAAAGTCTTCGTAAACATGTTAAAGGACTCTTGTCTTCGGCAGGTCACCTTTCCAAGACTAAAAGGCGAACATCTGGGCAAGGGAAAGCATAGTGCAAAACTTTCTTTTGAGGAGTTTGAGAACAATCGGTCCTACTCGAAAAGAAAAGAAGCGCGCATTTGGCTTTCAGACAATGCATCGAGGATTTTGAGGGGAGACTGCAAACACTTCGGGCAGAGCTGCATGCACTCATAGTGCAGACTCATCCACGGTCCAAATTGAAATTTGAGTTGATGTTCTATTTTAGTTCTTTTTGAAGTTACTTACAATAATCTTAAAACAAATCAATAGAGAATATCTTAAGATTTATTGAAACTAAATTTGAACATTTGAAAACATATAAACTAAAATCGAACTCAGTCCAAGAATCAAAATAGTATTTTGCGACCCATTTTGATCACATCAATTTACTATACAAAGAAATCTTGTAACCAAAATATCACAAATTTCTTATATTGGAGAGAACAAGGTAGCAAATTTTGCAAATATTGTATCCTTTGAGGGATATGAAATAGGAAATGACCACACAAAAACCTCAATTGGATATCCAATTTTTTATAAGTAAAAAAGCAAGCAACACATCCCCATGTTGGTATTCTGGGAATGTATCCTGAGCTAGATCTAACTAGCACCTGCATTTCTGCACAAGTTCATCAGTCACATGAAGATACAAGTACATTATGTTCTTTCAAACCTTTCTGGAAATGAAGCAAATGATTTTGTAGTTGGTAGATTGCTGCAGCTTTCTGTGATAGAATTGCATTCAATCTAGATATATAACCATCCAGATCATTTCCTGGTTGGTCTGCCTCAACTAAAAGATTCATTTCCTGCAGAACCAGAATTTGTACGAGTAACTATGATCAGTGATCATAAACCAAAGTAATTTCAAGCTTATATTTGATTAGTTTTAAACTGTGATTCTACACTATGCTCATATTTAAACATGATTAGTTACATACCATCTTAACGATATTCATCGTCTCCTCGACTTGTCTCCGGTGAGCGCTTATAAGATCTTCCTCTTCCTGAGACAGATGAAAAAAATGCAACAAAAAATGGTTATTTTCTCAAAGTTTTGATATGATGGAGTTAAGCTTCTTCCGGTTTACCTGCAACAGATCATTCAAATCATCGTCCGAATTCGAGTTGCGAGAATCTGCCTTAGGCATGTCCTTCCATTTCGTCGGCTGATTATTGGATTTGTGTACATTTTCAACCGCAACAGATGTTCGGTATGTCTCAAGCTTCCCATTTTTCTTCCACAAAGGTTTTCTTTGCTCAAAAATCTCCTCTGATACATCAAACTCATTTCTTTCATTTCGATCAACCCGTGCTGGTTCATTTCCAAACGTAGTTCCAGAAGGTAACACTGAGGTCAAGGGTCCAGTGGTTGATTCCTTAAGGTTTAAAGTGGAAGAAAATGTATCCTTCTTAACAGTATTTCCTTTTGAAAGGCTCTTCACCCTGGAGTGCACTTAATCTATCAGAATAAGCATCTAACAAGAAGTTTGGAGATTAAACTGCATCAAGAAAGAATTACTTCTTACCTATCTGCATATCTTAAGGTATTGAGAGTGTGTTCGCACGATCCAGAGCTGGGCGATATACAAGATATCATGACAGTGCGTGAATTGCCAACAAATGAGTCCCTTAGAACTTCCGTTAATTTACTGCCTCTAAAAGGAATATGGCCCTGGTCATTGTCAAGAGCTCGTATGCATTCCTTTAAAGCAAGTAAGCTTTTATTGATTTCAGCACCTTCTATTCTGCAATATTTAAAAAGTGTAATTGAACAGGCAGAAAATAAGAACATGCATGGTAAGTATTCCCATAGTGTTATGGAGGTAGAAAGTGCAACTTCTCAGTTAAATCTTATAAGAATTAACTTTTAAAGTGTGTTTACTGTCAGATTACCTGTTGAATTATGTCATTTAGTAACTCTTGTAAGAATAAGGATGTCTAATAATTATGTTTAGCTTTGAATTTCCCGAAGGAACAAATCATATCCTTTAGATAGTTACCATTCTACTTATAAGAATAAGGAAAGTGTCTCTTTATTATACTAAAGGGGGAGGGGGAAATCTGGAAAAAGCAAAGTTTTGAATCAAATAGGTGATGCGTAAGCTCCCATCAGTTTACCTGTCTACAAGTCTACAGGATAAAAAAAAAACATGCTATTTCCTAGGGATGCAAGCAAAAAATGTAAAGAAAAAAAAGGGAGAGGAAGAAGAAGAAAAGAACTAATGGAATCGAATTGGTTCAGTCAGTTTGAACTATTCTCATACGTCAATTTTCTTTCCTCAAATGTAAAACCAAAAAATAGGTGGCCTCGACGATTATCCCTACCCTTTGTAGCTTACGAGTTCACAAAATATTTTTGTAACAGCCCAAGCCCAAGTTCACTGCTAGCAGATATTGTCCTCTTTGGGCTTTACCTTTCAAGCCACCCCTCAAGATTTTTAAAATGCATTTGCTAGGGAGAGGTTTCCACACCCTTATAAAGGATGCTTCATTCTCCTCCCAACCGATGTGGGATCTCACAATTTTCCCGAGCAAATCATTCTTCATCTCATAAGCGCATTACAAGTCATTTCTAGATGCTTCTTTCAGAAGAGCACAGGAATTCCGTTTCGATAGATTTTGTATGGCTTAGTCAATCCAAAAGCAATCGCTTATTATTATTATTTGCCAAAAGTCCATTCAAACCAACCCCAACTACTATTTTCCTTGTAAAGAGAATCATGCACATATTTTGTGTCGAATAAAATATATCAGGAAAGTAGACAGTGTCATCAATTAAGCAGAAATGTGAAGATTGAGGAATAACTATACCTTGTCTGTTTGTCATTGTCGGTGGTGTCAGCACCACGTTCACTTCCTGCAAGATCTATAAATGAGAGTTTTCCAACCAAGCGAGGCGGCTTTGATTCTTTACCACTGATTGAACTCTTGACAGCAAGCTGGAGTATGGCATGAGAACGAGAGGATTCTTCATTTGCACCAGTTGTTCCAGTGCTTCTTGTGGCATTCCCTTTTTCAATGAGCTCTCCAATGGTCTCCACATCAGATACTTTATACTCTTGCAAACCCACAATGCAAACTTGTTGTTTACCGTCCTCTCTCATGCAAAGTTTTCTGCAGAACAAAAGCCTTAGCTTCTAAACAAGCCTAGCAACTGCTATTTCATGCTAGACAGATAGAGACGATAACTTACTTTCGATCATTGAGAAGATCATAAAGCTTTCCTCCATATATTTCGAAGAAGCTCACAAACAAGTGGAATCCCTGGTTCCTGTATGTATGGTGCATCAATCTTAAGATGTCCTTGGATGCTTTCAGAGGCAATGGCTTCATGGTATAAGTCTTCCCACTCCCTGTGCAATAGAAAGCACGAAAGATGATGCTTTAACGAAAGAACATGACGATATTTTTAAGCTAGCAGAACGACAAGAGTCATAAAATCAGTTCGGGAAACATGAATTTGATGGCATCTAAAAGAACAAAGGAATTTCTATTATAAACAAAACCAACTATGATTTCTTGACGAAGCAAGCCAGCAGGAGCATCAAGTGCCAACTAACAGCAAATCACCTGTTTGTCCATATGCAAAGCAGGTTGCCTTTGTTCGTTGAAATATTATGGGAACAATTGGCTCCACCGTCTCCCGGTACACCTAGATCCCAAAACGAAAAATAAGGCATGCTAAGAACTTGCACAAAAACTTTTTCTGTTCTCAGGATTCTTCCTCGGCCAATTTATACTTTCCAATTCAATTAATTGTAATATACTTACTTCATCATTTGAAACCTCCTCGTTCAGCACTGCATCAAAAACAAACTCATGTTTCTCCACGTATTCTGTAAGGTCGACCTGCTTAGCCAAAAAATGGAGACAAAAAACGATTACAGCATTGCAATTCAGAATTTTGAAGAAAGCAGTATTTAGGTAGTAAAGCGCTTGCCTTGAGTTTAGTCTCGTGAACTGTTAAATAATTAGCAGTTGTTTCAATGATATCTTCCTCAGTCTTTGCCAACTCCTTCTTGTTCAGTGGCCTTTTACGCACCTGCAATAGACACGAACAAGATGATAAACAGATATATCAAACTGTTTGAAACAATTAACTGAAATGGTGATATACATAAACACACACATTATCAATGCGGATCCAGGGTTGCAACTTATGGATATAAATTGCGAAGGTATGGCGTTGTATGTCAGGGAAGCAAACGGGACACGCAATTCAGAGGTAGGAATAAAATAAAGACATTCATAGAAGAATACATACAACAACTTTGATCTTTGCAACAGAGTTTGCCCTCTCTTTGTCTGCAGCCACACTTTTCAAGAGATTGTTCTCTGTCAAATCCTGCGGTCTACTTGTTTGAATGCTGTTTGAAATATAGA